ATATATATATATATATATATATATGTATGTATATATATGTATGTATATATATATATATATATGTATGTATATATATATATATACCCTATATGTGAATAAATAAAACAAGTATTTTTCCTCCCAAAGTTTATTATTCACATGATATTAAAGCAAAGAAACAAACCCTAACTCTCCTTCAACCTACGACCCTACTTTGCTAGCTCTACAGGCACCAAAACCTCTCCAACCGTCGTCCAGCCCATAAACAGCCGGAATCGTAATTGCTTTGTGCACTATAAGTCATGATCCCATTGTTTGCATCCTGATTGTCATCTGCATCAAAATTGTTGGATCAAGCACAAGTCTTGATCCAAACATCTGCATCTAGATCCTCTAATTCTTGTATGCAATCCCTCTTCCCAGGCGAGATCCGATCCATCTAGTCGAGCATCAAGTTCGACTTCAACGGGATTATGCCATCATCCATCATCTGGCTTTTGCTTCATCAGGACCGCTCAAATGCATCGCCCGCTTGTCAAGATCGCTCGTCTGTATCATCTGCTCCTCTGAATTGCCCAACTACTTCAGCATCTAGTCTAGCTCGCCCGACTTATTTGTCTAAAGCGTCAATCAGCTCTGTACGATCCTGAGGCAACCCTCATCTGTCAGCTCTCAGGCTCTCCTTCTTCCAGCCTTCTCTTTTTGTCCCTGAGGCAAACCTCATTTATCAGCCCTTTCAAGCTCCTCTTTCCTGCAGTGATCAGTCCCCCTGTAGGCCCTTCACAGCTCGAAACCTTCCCTATAGTCATATCTCTTATTGCATGCCCTTCCATGTTCTCTTTTGTCGATGAAACTCTCCCTGCAGTCGAAATCCTCCTGCTATAGACCCTAGTCTGTTAGAATCCCTTCAGTCGATCTACAGGCCCTCCTCCAAAGCCCCTTCTCTTCTTCATAGCACCAAAATTCTCTCTCCAAGATCTCATCTATTCAATTTCTGTCGTTATAATCTTCCCAGCAGTAGACCCTCCACAATATTCTCCCTATAGGCACTTTTTTGTCAGAATTCTCCTATCCTGCAGCTGTAACAACAGCGGCAACAACAACATCAGCATTAGTTGCCAATTATCCGCCTTTTCTGTAGCGGTCATTCGTCAACCTAGAGAAGAAGCAATTAACTTCCTTCCTGCAACTAGCAGCAATATTAATTACACAGAGTTTATGACCAAGTATAGGACAAAGGCGTCAAGCTCTACTCCAAATATTATTTCAAAATTAGAGACGAGAAATTCTAAACAGACGACTCCTAAATTCCCAAAAAAACTCCTTGGAGAAAATTAAGAACAGTACAACAACCACGTGACACACAAAGGTAATATAATATTCTCATATCTTAGCAGTAATTGGAGATTTAAAACTTGGATTATAGATTCAAGAGACAGCCTTAAAAAAAAATCTGAAGACATAAATACTCTAATTAACTATCAAGAGGCTTCTACATCTAGATTGATTAGACTTGAAGATGAATCACACTCAAAAATTATTGAAAAAAGAGATATGGAGCTCTCTCAGAATATTATTCTTTTTTCTCCCACAGTTGGGTTGTAATCTGATTCTAATAAGTTTTCTCATGATATAAAATGCATAACTAAATTTCTTGCAAGCTTTTCTAAATTTAAGATGGTGGAATCAGAGAAGATGATTGGCCTTGTTAAAATGCATCAAGGTTTATATCTACTCGAGGAAAGTTTCTTTCTAAACACATAAATAATCTCACTTTCATTTTTACTCAACTTTTTTAGTTTGTTAGGTCTATGTCTATCGAAAAAATTTTAATGCTATGGCATTGTCATTTAGGTTAACCCAATTTCAATTATGTTGCAAAGTCGTCTCCTCATTTGTTTATCAATAAAAAATCTAGTTCTTATCAATGTGAGATTTTCAACTTGTCAAACACAGTAAAAATAGTTATCCCATGACTCAGTAAAAACCCTCACACCATTTATCCATTATCTAAAGTGATACATGGGGACATTCAAAGGTGAAAACCTTAAGTGAGGCTAGATAAATTCTCATTTATTCACAATCACCCTAGAACTACTTTAGATATTCCTATGAAGAAGAAATCTGAAACAGCCCAAATTTTCTGAAGCTTCTATGATATGATTCAAATTCAATTCTAATACAAAATTCAGATCCTTCTAACTGATAATGCAAAGGAATATTTCAATTACTTTATTAGATCCTATCTTTTAAAAAAAAGAAATTATCCATGTGAGTCATTGATTGATATCACGCAATAAAATGAGATAGCTATGAGAAAAAACAAACATCACCTTGAGGTATCCCCAGCTCAATTATGATTTTCCATCAAGATTCAAAATAGTTTTGAGGAGAAGCTTCTTGCTGCAGCTTATCTTATCAATCAAATGCCTAGTTGGGAACTTAGCTTCAAAACAACTCTTCATGTCTTGATGGTTACCAATTTTCACATCAAATTTTTCTCTTCTATTATAACACTTAAAATCTTTGGGTGTGTACCATTTATTCTCATTCCCAAAATTACACAGAACTTGACCCTAAATCTATCAATTGTATTTTTCTTGAATATGTCTCCAACAAAAAGAGATATAAGTGTTAATTTCCTCCTACCATAAAATAATACAACTCCATGGATATCACATATTTTGAAAATCAGTCATACTACCCCAAATAAAATGTTCAATAGGAGATTGCAAATGAACATCAATTTTGAGATGCACTTGATGACACCTACATTGTCTCACTACCTACTCCACCTAACCCTTATGCCCTGGTGGACGATGTCCGACAAATCTAGCTAACCCAACCTGATGAAGTTCATAACAAAGAACTTCACGTGTGCACAAGAAGGAAAAAAAAATCTTAAGCAGGTAGAAGATAGCTTGTAAGGACAGATAACTCAAACCAAAACCCGAGTTCGCATTAACCCAAAATTTCGAGTCAAAAGGAGCCTAGTGCTCATTACTTAGCCCTTCCTCTTATGATGTTGGTGATGAGAAAAATTGTATTAAATGTCCAATTCAAGAATATGTAGTTTATAGAAAGTTATCCTCATCCTACAAAACTTTTGTCTATAATCTTGATAGTGCATAGATTCCTAAATTCATTCGTGAAGCTCCTAAAAATCCAAAATTAACGAAAGCAATTGAAGAAGAGATTCAAGCACTGAAGCAAAAAAACACGTGAATTCTTAATAAACTCCCTCAGGATAAGAAGTTATTTGGATGCAAATGAGTGTTCAACATAAAATACAAAGTTGATGGGGGCGTGGAGAGATTCAAAGCCAGACTAGTTGCAAAAAATCTCACTCAAGCTTATGGGATTGACAATCAGGATACCTACGCATTAGCTGCCAAACTAAACACTACCAGAGTTCTCCTTTTAGTAACCATTAACAAAGAATGGGGATTACATTTACTTGACATAAAAAATGTCTACTTGAATGGGAATCTAAAAAAAGAAGTGTATATGAAGATACAGCCAGCACTTAAAAATGATTATAACAAACACCTAATATGAAAACTCAGAAAGTCTCTATATGAACTTGAGTAATCATCAAGGGTGTTGTTTGAAAGATTTGCTAAAAACTATGAGATTTAATGGATATTCGCAAGGTCAAATTGATCATACTCTATTCATAAAACACACTCAGGGATGTATGATTGTCGCACTAATGGTATGTGTGGATGATATAATTCTTACTAATGATGAAAGGAAGATTCTCAATATCAGAGAAGAGCTTGACACTGAGTTTCAAATCAATGATCTAGAAACCATGAGATATTTTCTAGGTATGGAAGTAGCAAGGTCCAAGAAAGAAATCATTATATCATAGAGGAAATACATCTTAGATTTGCTAAAAGAGACAAGAATAATTGGATGCAAGCTTGTCGATACTCCAATAGATCCCAATAAGAAATCTAATAGAGGAGAAGAAAGTGTATCAATGGATAAGAGATGTCAAAGATTGGTAGAAAAACTCATTTACTTGTCACAAACAAGGCCAAAGAATACACTCTATCAGCATTGTGAGCCAACACATGAATAACCCAAAAGAAGAGCATTTAGAAATGGTGTGCAGAATTCTGAGGTTTCTCAACTAGACTCCTAGTTATAGATTAATTTTTTAGAAAATCAACAACAGAAATGTAGAAGTTTAAACTTATGCAAGTTAGACTAAGGAACCCACTGATAAAAGGTCTTCAGCAATTTATTGCTCCCATGTATGGGTAAATCCGGTTACATGGAAAAATAAGAAACAAGTTGTTGTTTCTAAAAGCAGTGTTGAATCAGAATTTAAGGCACTCGCCTTAGACATTTGTGAAGAGAAGATTCTGAAATTATTAAACGAATTGAAGTCGAATAGACCTATACAGATATTTTCTGACAATCAGACAGTCATCAATATTGTCAAGAATCATGTGCATCATGAAAAGACCAAAGCTATTGAAATTGATAGGCACTTTATCTCTGAAAAGGTTAATGGTGGATTTATACAGTTAGGCTACGTCCATAAACACCAACAAGTTGTCGCAGTCTTCACTAAAACTCTTCCTTTAAGCATCTTCTCAAATATCAATATCAATCTTAGTTTCTACAACATATACTACCCAACTTGAGGGGTACTGTGGAAAGCTGAGAACTTCAACACCTCTCAATTGTGGGACATTTCACTGCTTCATAAAACCATGGAAAAATTTGATTAGCATGTCTTCGGAAAAACCTTTCTTAGTTATATTCCCTTCTCTATTTTATATTCCTTTAATTTTTATTTCAAATTGTTTAAAAATGACCTAAGAAGACTTTTGCATATTGTATAAAAAAAATTATCTTAATCAATTACAATTAAATGAAAATATGACACAATAAGACGCAATGGAGAAAAAGGATTAATGTAGCTGACCCTACTTAGTGAGATAAAGGCTTGTTGTTGTTGTTGTTGTTATAATTTTTATTTCAGAATTATTTCCTCGCCTGATTTAGACAATATATATTTGGTAAGTTCGTAATTTAGGAGGAATGGTTCCTCTATATATATGTATCATACACGTGAATGATAAAGCAAGTATTTTTCCTCCCAAAGTTCGTTTTTCAACATCTTTACTGAAGCCAATGAAGTTACTTTATTAAAGTTTGCTACCATCATATCCAGATGAGTACACAAATGTTAGCAGAGTGGAAATCGGTTGTGTCAAATTTAATGTACTTTGCACACTACAAGACCAAAGCATCCCACAGGAGCCATAATTGGATGAAAGTGCTAACAAAATCCACAGCACTGAAACACAAAGCCATTTGCTAGCAAGAATTATGCGGTCAACTAACACATTCTGTTCAATCAGTCATACGATGCAGCACAAGTTCATGAAATTTTAATTAAAAAATATGATACGTTAAACAAAAAAAAAAGTAGATGTATGATAAATCACAGCATTTTTTTACATATAGCTAAACATGTGTCAACAAAGACTTATTTATGGATGCCACATACACTTCTTGATTAATCTAGATAGCAAATGGGGATAAAGAACACTTAATAAATTTAGTGGCAGCATTGAACAAATCTAAACTGGAAAATTAAAAATAGAAGGTTAAAAAAAATACAAGCTCCTGGAAACTAAAAGTTTCTCACCTTTCGCAGAGCTTATTCTTGGAATTCAACACTATTTCATTTTTAGATCTATTGTCATCCATATGAGTTAATCTTTTTATTATGGGATCCTCAACAGCAGGCCCTGTGGTAATCTGGATGGATGCCACAAAGCATGAATACTGCAGAAAATGCATTAAAACTTTTCAGAATATTAACACAGTCCATTACCTGTATCACAACATCAGAATCCCGATTCCTTGGTCTTCGAACATCCATAGATGGAAGGCGATCTCCATTGCCGCTTTCAACCTGAATTGCTTGACCTTTTGGCTAAAGTAACAACGATCGCGCTAATTAAAATTCTATTATATAAACATGAAAGCTCAATGAATGCTGAATGGGAGGAAAAAAAGAATAAAATAAAATATATAGGGAGCAATAGTCAGTGTTTCAATTTCAGCTTACCATTTTGACTCCCTTCCTTCCATTATCAAGATAATCCGAATTTTCACATCCATATTGAGCAATTTCACCTGACATTATGCCAGTTGACTGCATGCCATTTTCAACCAAATATAAGAACAGAAAAGCCGAAATTCAGAAATCTAGACCATTTTCTACTAGGGGGCATTTACATACATACCACCCAATTCCTAAGTATTTACATATCTAACACCTAAAGTTTACTTTTTAAATTTATATCACCCAAATTTTCATTTAACGTCAAAAATACCACTATTTTAACTTTTGAAAGTGAAATACACCTTTTCATGCAAAGTAAATGTGGCATATATCTACAAATAGAAGTTTAGGTGTTTGATATGTAAATACATAGAAATTAAGTAATAATGTATGTAATCTTCATTTCTACTATCATGCTAGGTCCAATAAATTTTTACTGTATGCTGCACCATATAACATCAGACCTTACTCAACCTAGAAGATTCATGCAATGGCAAATTATTCTGCTGAAAATGGGCCTGTTAACAACCCAGAACAAAAAAATGTTAATGCAGCACCATTTTTGCCAAGATAAGGCCGAGAAAAAAAGAATTACCAATTGCTTGCAATAAGTTCTCCACCCTTCCTCATCCAGCCCAAAGTTGAAGTAATCAGTGATATCAACTCCATTAAATCTCCATGGCTTATACTCAAATGATTCAACATCTATGTTGAATATGCTCCTGAAAGGCCAGTAGTATAGCATAAAATTCTATAAAAAAAAAATGACAATAAAATCTAAGGTAATCAACAAAAACAAATGTTATTTTTTTTTTCTAATATAGATAGATGGCATAATACCTCCTGAAGAGCAGAAGGTCAACATTCAAATTAAAAAATAATTAGATCGAAAAAAAAAGGCAAGCCTCATTGCTAGCAATATCTAAATCCAATAGGCACAGCAAAAGATAAACTATACCAACCTATTTTGTGGCAAATAGAAATCACATCCATTTGGAAACGTGGACGGAAAGACTGAATCATGCAAGGATTTACCCAAATAGCATGGCACTGTCAAATGATCAAAATGACTTATTCTAGAGAGAGAGTTCCGTGGACGAACAGCAGACCCAGCCAAACAAGGTCTTGACTGCACAAAAGAACAAGCACTGGTAAGTATGATTCAAATAAAGGATGATAATGCTGTCGCATTAAAGAAACTCTCCTTTCAAAAACAAATGCGCACACCATGTAAAGCAGATGAATAAAGGTGAAATCCATAAGCGCGTTCAAAAAGATAAGATACGCTTCAATTGTTGATAAAAAATCATAAAGCTGCGGCAAATAAACTAAAGACGCCGTACCCAATTCCTGTGAGCCCCCTTCGCTGCATTTGGCTGATCTCCATTTCCCTGCAGCAACCCGTCAGCCGAATGTACTTGTTCAACCATTTTAGACTCCTTTCCAGAACAATCCAACCCAGTTAGAATGACGAGGCCATCACCATCATCCTCACAGTCCCTCCCTTCAGCTACTAGTTGAGCAGAGAGTTTATTAGAGTAATCCTCTTCATTTAACACTATCCGAAGATCATCGTCACTGTCACTGCTGCTCCCACTTTCCATAGCCCCATTCACAAACCCAACTCTTCTCTCCTCTATCTCATTCTTATCTTCCTCTTCTGTCTCCGCAGTCAGAACGCCGACAATCACCCGGTCGTCCAGATCGGCGTAGAGCTCATCGAAGTCGTCCGAGTCTCCCATTTACCCCGCGAAAGCAAGGCGAAGCGAATCGCTATATATGAAGCCACGCAATGAAGGCAGCTAGGGATAACCCTAGCCCTAACTCCATGGCAGATGGGAAGCAGAGTATCCGGCCTGGCCGATGCTTCTCGCGGTGAATTTTAGCGATGACATCGACGAACCGGACAGTCGGACAAGAGAAGGATGGTTAGGTTTGCGTTTTATAGGGTACAAGCGGGGTTAGAGATTGCCGCTGAAAGCCGGGCCAGTTAGACCGCACCAACATCTCCCCAAACACGCGAGACTGATGGCTAAAATTTAGGTACCTAGATTGCGATCGAAATTTTTCGCGGCGTATTTGTACATTCGTGTGCTTGAATGTGCCAAATGTTTTGAGACCAAATTAATGTTCATCATATTCCAAAAAAAAATTATATATATATATATATATATATATATATGTTGAACTTTGATATGTTTTGAATCCACTCAAGAGATAGAGTGTAAATAAAAAAATATAGAGACAGATCCCAACGGAAAAGAGTTGAATGAGGGTATGTTAAAATAGGTTTGGAACTAGGAAAAATGAAATGTATAGGCCTATCTTCCCTTATGTATGTGGGTGTAAGTCCTTTGGCCCCCAACAAATTTATCTTTAATATGATTTAGGGACCCTAGAAAAGGCCAATTTTATAATTGCATCATTGAATCATGAAGATGTGGAGGCTTGTTCTTCGAGTAATTGTTTCTAATTGGTCTTTTGTTAGTGTTTGACTATTGGTGTTGGATCTCGACTGACTATTCTCTAATGGTTCGGTTTCGGTATTTCTGCCTCCTGACCTGATATTTGACTTATCTTGGGCTAATTATTATGATGGATGGATACTAAGTCTTCTATTTTGTGATGTTCTAGGTAGTTCGATTATACATATTCAGGTTCATGATTCTCTCTTATCTTAGGAAGTCATGTTGTGATGAGACTTTGAGAAGTAAATTATAATAACTAGCCATGAATTATAAAAAAGGACCATAATGTAACTAATTCCTTGAATTTTGAGCCCCTAACTCTTATAACTAGAGCAATGAGACGTCTCGGAATCCCTATTTGATTCTGCTCTTCAACCTGGTTGCTTCCCTATTTCATTATTAGTTACTATGGCGAATTTTGAATCGGTCACTGACGGACATACTGAACAAATTCCTTATCTATGTCATATTTGGTAAATATAAGTGTGGCGTTGAGAAGCGCAAGCTTGTGGGAAAGCACAAGTGATTCGACTCAACTTCCAACTATGAGGGCTCGTCTAGGAAGACCACAAGAACTGTTTTGATTCAGCTGAAGAAAGTTGTCACTACCTCGAGAGTGAAATTACAAGCAGGTGGTTTAACCGAAGGTGCCCCCCATCCATCTAAAGCATCTTAACCTTCGAATATGTCTATCATTGTTTCTTTCGTAACTACGATTAAGAGAATGTATGAAGGTTGTGACTAACCATTCTATAGATGAAAGTGGAAATCTTTCTTTTTTTGTGGCTTTTATGGATCACCTATATTTTTTTATGTCTTTTTTTATACATGCCACTAGGTGGAGAGCTCGACTCTTTTAAACTTGAATAAGGCTCCCAGCGCCGATTTGGGGGTGATGGGTGTTTGACTAAGGGAATTGATCGTCATAAGCATGATGAGAATGTAGACGAGGTCGATCAACTTGGTGGCATGAAGGATCACTGAGTTATAGATGAGAGGAATGCTACAGAGGAGAGAAAGGAGGGGATTGCAAGGTGACGACTCTCCATATTGACATTTTTTTGTTTGTGGCGTATGTGACTCCTGCTGATTGAGCTGCCGCTCATTTAGCCCGGTTGGATGGTATGGAGCAGAAGGTTGTTGCATTAAAACAATCGGAGGCCCTCTTTTACCAGAAGATTATGAATTTATAAAAGAAATTTATGATATCTTTACGTCAAGTTGAGTATGGTAGCTTGGGACAATTCAAGTCTTGAGTCGAGTTGTGATTGGGTGGCTCATCTGATTAAGTCATCTCGGCCCTTATGTGGATTTTTTTTTCCTTTCTTCAGATTAATTTAACTATCTATACATGAACTTTCAAAAATAAATTATAATTTGTTTGATGCTTCATTTTTTGTGTGGAGATAATTTGATGGTATTGGTTCTACTTCTTATGCCTTTAATATTCCATATTTTCCTTTTTTTTTTTCCTTATTATTTGGCAGGTATGACACCTTCATCTTCTATCTCGGTGTGACCAAACAAGAAGCAGGTAGGACCACGCTGACAAGCGATAAAACACTTTATGAAAAAAATTTGATGGACCTACCCTTGATTCTTGCTATAAAATCAATACTTAAGTCTTTTTGAGGGGTTTTCTGCATCAGAGGAGGTTTAGAGGCTAAAATAAGAGAGTTTGGGAGAGATTTTGAAGGCTCTGTTGAAGGTTGTCTTCCTCCTTTGATGAAAGCCTTTAAGGAAGAGTTTTTCTTAGCTTCGTGAGTTATAAGAGTTTGTATGAGAGGAAAAAGGTGCTGACTTTACAGAGAGAACAATTTCTTATAAGTTTTTCATATCTTTGTTGCTTGCAGTAGATTCACACATGGTGACTTTTGTTATGGTTTTCTCCGTAATGAGCACCAAAACTTTTATTCGTATCTTTGTGATGTAGGGAGTAGTAATTTTATCGTGTTTTTTTTAAGCATTTTCTTTGAGCTTTTCATGACCCTATTGTTGGTTAACCTCTGAACTTAATTTACTCTGAGTCTAGCCAACTAGGATGTTAAAATATTTCACAAAACTATGCCCTCTAATCATTGCATAAAGGAAATGAAGGGTTAACTAGAGAATTCTGAGAAGATAAACATATTCCAGTGGGATTCTACAATCTTTCCAAGGAATCAAAAAAGTCGTGTGGAATGCCATTGTTATCGGGGAAGCCTCAACTTCATGGATTCTAGGCTTCTTTTGACCTAGACATAAGCATAAGGAGTATTATGTCCTCAATTGACAAAAATCACATAGCAGAACATTTAGGAAAAATCATGATCTCCACAATCCCCAAATCATAGAGGCATGAGCCTCATCTATCCTAAAGGAACTAACAAACTTATCCTCCTCTTTTCTACTTTATTTCATTTTTTGGTATTTTATTTTGCTAGGACCTTAAAACTTAAAAACCTCCTTTTGGCAAAGGCCAAACTAAGTTAACTAACTCAGTAAACTAGTGATTTTTTGTGGAAACAAATATTATTCTTTCATTGATATGTGATACTCTTGAACCGCATTATTACTTGACAGGTGCACTTGTGTTGTACAACCAACTTATGTCATGATAAGTTTTGACGCGTTAAGTTTTTAATACTGTTGTCGGGAAAAGCACTAATAATTGTTTCTGTAATTAGAAAAGCTTTAGTTGAAAATTTTAGGATCTAAGTTTAGTGCATTTTATTTTTTTTTATTTTTGTTTTGTATTTTTTCTTTTTTTATTGCAACTGTATTATTGTTGTATCTATTTGCAATTGCTGAAAAATTAGAAGACTGAAAAAAGTTATAGGCCAAAAAGTCAAAATTATTTTGATGTTAAAAATTTGTTTTATTTTCTTTGTAAAGCCAAAATATTTTGTTATTTTTATCTTTCTGTTGTTTATGATTTTATTTTGTTCATGTGCTTAAATTATATTTTAAAAAAATGCTTCATCATTTCGAAATGGCTGCCACTTAAGAAAAACAATTTAGACCCTTTCAGGAGTATACCATGGATAACACTCACATGAATTCTGAATACTCTAACATAGGAGCTAATTTTGATCACCCATCTTCCAATACCTCAACCCCAACTCGACTACTAACTGAAACTCTTGTTGGAACATTAGCAACATTAGTGTAGAAAACCAAGTTTGGGGGAGAACTCAAGCCAACCTTATAGAAAATTCTAACAGCTGGGACAAGGTCCACATTTACCAAACTCAACCTTGGGAAGTCATCTCAAAACCCCAATTTAGGGAAGATGACTTATTGTTAGAAGATTACTAGTAAATTTGAGGAATTAATCCAAAATCTACACTTAAAGTTGGTCGACCCACCCTAATTAAAACAATAATAACTCTAGTGTAGTCAATCAGTAATGGGAGAACACCTAAGTTGATCCTGCAGGATGTTGGAATAATCAAGATAGTGACTACCCTGAAGAAAATGAGCAATTTAATGAATTGGCAATAAACCTACTAAATCAATTACAAAGCAAAAGTAACTTAGAAAATCAAATGAAGTAGTTAGTTAGCCAAAAAATTAAAGAATTTCAGGAGTAGTAGAAAGAAAAAAAACACTTAGTTAGTTAGCTTAAAAAATAGAATTGCACAGTTAAGGTAGGCATGTCATGAAGTGTTGGCATCAAACTACACTGCATGTGGTATAATAAAAAAGTTAGGGGTCGCATGCAAACCCCTTTCCTAAATCTATATTTTTGTCTGTTTGCACTGTTTGCAGACTTGTGTACTACATTGGTGCATTGCTTGTTTTGATCTTGTTTGCATGATTATTAGCATATGCTTGTACATTTATCCTTCACCTTTTTATGTTTTGCATGATTTGTCTACTTTCATAGTATCAACCTTTAGCTTCTGTGTCTTAGGGCTTGCATTGATGTACACTATTTTTTAAAATTATGTATTTAGATGTTTGTATGTGTGGATCACCTTTCTTAGCGAGTTTATTTAATCTCATATAGGACTAGGTTTGTGTGTCAACACCCTTAATAGTTGGACAAGTAGTAAACCAATGTTCAATTTATGGTGATAAAATGAAAATAATATCATATGCTAGTTTGTCCAAACTGGTAATATGAATTATCTTAATATTATTTGATCTTTTAGGACCTTTCCAAGTTCTAAGTGAAATAACATCCAACATTAGTGTGATTTTTATTAGTCCTCTTAGACACTCAAGAAGAGGCCAAACTTGGTGACCTTGTCAAGATCCTACATGAATGGCATTTGTCTTTACACCACATGACCTTACTTTAGGTGTTGTGATTAGGCAACACCCTGTAAATGTTTGTTTAGAACTAGGTAAGGGTGTAGTTGGATTTTTTATATTTAAATACATAGTTAATTGTGTTTGTGTGCTGTTTGTTGCATTTTGGCTTGTTATTTTTGTGTGTTTACCAAGTTTTAGATGTGTACACCAGTAT